CAGTTGGATGTTGAGAGTCTGATGCAGAAATATCTAGGTTTTCAGAGTTACTGTCAGTTAACTGAGGTGGGTCATTTGTTACTTCTTCAGGAGCATCTTAAACCGCTTGAACAGACTTCGGTATTATAGCAATCTCCTCCTCATCAGGACATTTTTCATTCTTAGAAGAAAGGTTAGTATCAACAGATACAACATGATTCTTCAATAGCTAGAGTACGTTTATTATAAATCTTTTACCCTCTATTTGAGAGAGAGTATCGAAGAAAAATACCTTCGTCGCTTTTTGCATCAAACTTACCAAAGTTGTTCTTCCCGTTGTTGTGGACGAAACACTTACATCCAAAGGGATGAAAGTAACTTATGTTTGGTCTCTTACCTTTCCACAGTTCGTAAGGAGTCTTCTTGAGGATATGCCTTATCATATACCTGTTTATAACATGATATGCTGTGCTCACTGCTTTAGCCCAGAAGTGGTGTGGTAGTGAATTTTCTGCAATCATGGTTCTTGCCATGTGTTGTAGAGTTCTGTTCTTGCATTCCACTACTCCATTTTCTAACTACTCCATTTTATTGTGGAGATCTTGGGGATGAGAAGTTCCTTGATCATTGCAGAAGCTTTCAAATGATCTGCTTTCGAATTTTCCTCCATGATCACTTATTATAGAGGTGATGTAGCAGCCCTTTTCTCGCTGAACTGTTTTGCAGAAAACTTCAAAATTCTTTAGAGCTTCATCTTTCTTAAGAAAATAGCCCAAGTAAATTGAGAAAAATCCTACTATAACAAAAGAGTATTTTCTACCATCAATGCTAGCACTTCTAGTAGGTCCAAAAAGATCCATGTGCAACAGTTGAAGAGGTTTTGTAGTAGAAACGATGTCCTTGACTTTTAAAGAACATTTTTTTTTGTTTCCCTAATTGACATCGCAAATAGTTTTGGAAGACCGATAACAGGATCCTGTTTAGAAAGTTTCTCAATAGTATGCATGCTAGCATGACCTAATTTTCTATGCCATACCCAAGGATCATCAATCATAGATGCCAAACATAAATGGTTTGAAGTGACATCAACATTACTAAGAGCATAGACATTCGTATCCCCGCTTCCAGAGAGAATAGTTTTACCTGATTCATCCTCAATTATCCACCCATATTTTCTAAAATTATCCTCATAGTTGCTATCACATAGTTGACTACTACTGAGCAGATTGTATCCAAGTTCATCTACAAGGTATACTTCATCTACATAGCATGATGAGATGAGAGGAACTTTTCCGGCTCCAATTACATTTCCTTTTGATATGTCTCCAAAGGTAACTGATCCTCCATCGAGTTTAGTAACTAATTTGAAAAGTTATTTGTCACCTGTCATGTGTCTGGAATACTTGCTATCAAGATGCCATTTTATTTCGATTCCTCTTGCGGTGTTTCTGCAAAAATAACAAATTACTTTCTCTTAGGTACCCATGCCTGCTTGGGTCCTTTTTGGTTGTTCGCCCGATTGGTTGCTTTGGGCTGTCAGACCCAGCCCCTTATATTTCTAAACATGCAATGAATAGATACATGACTAGATTTGTCACAATAAAAACAAGAAAGGGGACTAGATTCTTCGATAGGTCTGTAATTCATTGATCCCCTTTTAGAGTTTTTACATATAGTCGACTGGTTTGACTTAATGGAGTTGTGGCTGGTGGACTTGCGTAAACCATTCAGTTGCAACCGAAGTTCATGAACTTCTTCTTGAAACATGTCTCGTTCGATCTCAAATACTTCTAGTTTCAATTCCTGGTCTTTCTTTTTTCGTTGATTCTTTCGAAGTTCATGTAGAACTTTTTCAAGATCAACAAGAGCAATATCGATAAATTCTTGAAGCTCATTACATTTATGACGAATAGGTGCGCGTACCTCACTGGTCCTTTGGCTGCCATGAGACTCAAGTTATTTGTTCCTTCTTGATCGAATTCTTCTTCATCACTATTTTCTCCAATCACCATGAAACACATGTTTGTTATTTCCTTATGGTCAGACTCTTCTTCATCGCTCTATGCACCAAAAGATTTCTTATTCTAATAGTTTCTGGTGACTTTCTTTTTTAGATTAGGACATTCTGCTTGAATATGACCAATCTTCCCACATTCATGGCATCTTCCATCATTCTTTGTCATTTTCATTTACAACTTTTCCTTTCCTGAAATTTGGCTTGCCTCTTTTATCATTTCTGGTTCTTCTCATCATGTTTGATACTCCCTCCGTCCCAATTTATGTGAACCTATTTCCTTTTTGGTCCGTTCCAAAAAGAATGACCCCTTTCTAAATTTGGAAACAATTTAGCTTTAACTTTCAATTCTACCCTTAATGAGAAGCTTTTATAACCACACAAATACTCTGGACCCCTTTTTGACTTGTTTAGGATCACAAATTCAAAAAGTCTTCATTTTTTCTTAAACTCCGTGCTCAGTCAAACAGGTTCACATAAATTGGAACGGAGGGAGTATTACTTTTGAGAGCATGGCTATGTTTTCATCCTGTTCTCCACCTTCTTCTTCTTCTTCTTCCTTTTTTTGATTCAGCCATAGTGGTTTTGAATGCAACGATCTTCTTTTTTTCTTTTGCACACGTCTGTCCAAATGAGTCTTTTCAAAGGCAATAAGATCACCTAGAAGTTCATCATAGGAAATTTTATCAAGATCTTGGCGTTTCAATGCAATGACTTTAGGTTGCCAGGCTGTAGGTAAGCTTCTCAGTATTTTCCTGACTTGTTCTCCATTTTTCACTGGTCTCCCAAAAGATTTGAGATCCCCAACAATTTTACTGAATCGAGAAAAATTCTTCCACGGATCTCCTTCTTTCATTTGAAATTACTTGTAGTCATGAATCAGAAGGTTCATTCTGGTTTCCTTAACCTTATTTGTTCCTTCATAAGTGACTTCCAACTTATCCCACATTTCTTTTGCGGTTTCCCAGCTTGAGATCTTTTCATATTCTTCACCGCTTATTACATTGTATAGGAGATTTTTTGCTTTAGCATTGGCCTGCACCACAACAGCTTGTTCGTCAATATATTCATCTAAATCTAGTGGATCAGATGATACCTGGCTTTCATCTACTTTGTCCTCTTTTGCTTGTGGAATAGGTAGATCTCCTTTCTTGATAATGCGCCAAACTTTGATGTCATAGGATTTTGCATATGTTTCCATACGCACTTTCCAATGAGAGAAATGATGTCCATTGAAGTAAGGTGGCCTTATTTGTGATGTCCCTTCCTAAAATAGTGCTCCAACAGCATTGTTTGTTCCCTTGACCTTTTCTCACTTTGCGGTTAAGCAAACATCTTTCGCAGCGTGTGAGACCTACTCTGATACCAATTGGAAGTAAAAAGAGGAGGGGGGAAGGGTGAATTGTAAAAATTCTTTTAGTCGACTAGGTTACTTCTTAGTCAACTGCAATTATCCTGCAAGCAATAGTTAGCACAACAAATATATATTTTTATACTGGTTCGTGTACCGATGTGACACCTATATCCAGGTCCCTTGGGTCACAAGGGTTCTCTTAGATCTTCAATCGAAATGAGTTGCAGATGAGTGTGTGGTTTTCTTTCGTTCACCACCGAGTTACACTAGTTGTTCTTGACACAACCTTTCACTTGCTTTCTTTTTCTCTCTATCTTTTTAGGAATACTATGTTTTTGCTAGGAAGTAGAAAGACTGGAAACTATATGAAAGCTGCATGGTGATCTTCAAGTCTTCCCGCTCTTTATATACTCGCCAATGTATGTGATGTATTCTATCTTCCTTGTGCTGAGAGATTGAAAAACTCAAATCCCTTTGATTGTGTTTCTCCTTTTGAGGCACTTGTATTCTAAAAGTAGGGCCCAAGTCCCTACTCTTGAATCCAGTATAGGGATTGTGACTGGATTCATTAAATCAGTTTGCTCGTCAAATCCTCTTTGATAGCGACAGTCTTGATCTTCACAATTTCCTCAATTTCCTTTTCTTGGCAATCTTCCTCTATGCATATCAGGCTGATTCGAAGCTCTTGATTGGTCTTCTAGGGGATGACTTCCGTAGATCTTGCAATGTTGATTGATTCTCTTTCTTCTCTGCTACCCTGATTTATGCTTTGATAGATGGTCTTTATTTAGCCGTTATCAAGTAACAAGTTGGCTTCTTGCATAGTTCTTCTTCATTCTGGTTTAGCTGACCTGCACATGTATTTCTTGCATTAGTAGTATGCACTTGACTCTTGTTTTGGTCATCATTAAAATTAGAAACCTAACAAAGGGATCTCACAGAGATGTGAAAGCTCGCGAAGAAAATAATATAAAAGGCCATGAAAATCAGTACAGGTGTAGTAGGCCATTAGATAAATGTGCAGCACTGGAATTGCGCGGTTGAACATTTTGAGGCGCAACATTCAGAAAGAAATATTTAGGAAAGGCAGAGTCAAACAAGGTGAGACTGGACGCTGGAAGGGATGTCAGTCTTTAGCTGCAGGGTGAACAATGGGACTGGAAAAGGGGATCCTTCCCAAAACTTTGTCTATGACGTTGGCATTATGCTTGACTTGTGTGCTAAATTTGTACTCGTTCCTTTTCTCTTTTGAAAAACTTAGGCTCCTAATGCTTTTGCATTCCGGAAAATGGCCAAACTTAGGTGAACGTGAGGACTCGGGTCCATGAATTTATAAACAATCATGGACTCCACAAGATGGCTAGTGGGCCTTACCCTGTAAAAGCATCCTAGACAAGATAGGTTGACTGATAGCGGTGACTTGAACTCACAACTTCTTGGTTAGAAGTGGAATGCTCTGACCACTGGAGCAACCTTGTCTAACAATAGACTGAGTCATAAAATCCTTCTTTTTTTCACACTGAGTTCGGTTTGGAATGTCCCTGGTATATATTTTTTGGCACCTCAATATGGATTGAACTAACAATAGACTGTCATAAATGTAGATGTTTAGTTCTATGATAGCCACGCTAATGCAGTGTATTATGGTTGCAGGCACAATCTCCGAACTATACAAGTTCTTTGAGACAAATATTCCCAAATATCGAGCAAATTGATTCTGAAGTGTATGCATAGGTGTTTTGATGTGGATTTTATGCATAATTGATGTCAATCCCCAAGAATAATAACCTTTCTGAGTTCTATCTTATTATCTGAGAGGTCCAGCTGATAAGATGCTGCAAAAAAACAACTTGCTATGCCATGATTTCCAGCCCCTCCATCATTTCAGGATTTTGGAAGTCCTGAAAAGATGAAATTACTGGGAGCTGCTGCCTAATTACTGATCTGGCGATGACATTTGCTTATCGGTTTTGTCTTTGAAAATATTTACTTTTTTTTGGGGTCCTCGGACCACAAAAGGGTTCAAATTGTTAAACTTTTTTCTCCAAATGGGAAATGTGATCCTTCTCTCCACTTTTTGGTGTTTGTGTTTTGAACTTAAAGCATCTAAACTGGTAGTATCAACTGAAGAAAAAACGAGCAAAACAAGTGTAAATTCGGATATCCAAGTGTAAAGTTCTTATGAGACCCTGCAGACCAGCTACATTTCTTTTTTCTTTAACAGTATTTGAAGGATAAATTCTACCTTTCAGTGTTAATTAGGACCGGGAGACAAAAAATTCTTATTAATCCTGTTTGGTCGAAACCAAGAGGAGACAGTAGTAAAACACTCGATAATTATTATGCATCGTGATTGATCCCAGAATAGACGTCAATATAACCTCTAAATTAAGAATAATCAAGTAGGGAAGTGTCACGACCCAAATCTCCCTCCGTAGGATGTCGTGGCGGCACCTAGTTTCTACGACTAGGTAAGCCTAACAATTGCGGAATAACTGAAATAATAACAAAATTTAATATAGCCGAAAAATGCCGCTCGGCATGTACAAGTGAAACCAACAATTCGATTATAACAATATCCCCAAAACTCGATAATCATAAGTCAAAAGCTCTAAGAATCTATTCTAATTGTCTCTATGCATCAGTAACTAGGTAAAATAAAGGAGGAACAACATAAGGGATAAAGCGGGACTCCGAGGTCTGTGGACGTTGACAGATATACCATGAAGTCTCAGGAGCAGCAACAAGTACGCAACTAATAGCGGGACAGGTAGGAGGTACCTGGATATGCACACAAAACATGTCAAGAAAAGTAGCATGAGTACACCACAACGGTACCTAGTAAGTGCCAAACCTAACCTCAGTAGAGTCGTGACGAGGTCAGGAGGGCCCTACAGGTATATAATAAATAAGGCAGGAGCTATATAATGAAAGACTGAGAATTTAACAACGACGAATATAGGAAGATAACAACACAACACATAGGGATAAACAACAAGGAGCGCTCCCGAGATACCATCTCATAGTCCCAAAAGTAATGCTCAACAGGGGATCTCCCGAGGTACCGCCTCGTTGTCCCAAAAGTAAATATGCAGCGGGGGATCTCCCAAGATACCGTCTCATAGTCCAAAAAGTAAATATGCAGCGGGGATATCCCAAGGTGCCGTCTCGTAGTCCCAAAAGTAAATATGCGACAGGGGATCTCCAGAGGTACCGCCTCGTAGTCCCAAAAGTAAACACACAACTTAAAATCGATGGAAATAACAATTATAGCAAGAAATCCTACAGTTTAAGACTAAGTACAAGTCAAAGAAAAAGCAGGAATTCAACTAAGCATACTGCACAGAGTTCAAATAAGCATTTAAGACACGTAGACATACGAAATTAGGCTAAACAGGATAACTACACATGTTGGGATAACTCATTTAAGATAAAATAGGTTACTGTTCAGTAAAAATCGGATTCTACAACAATTAGCCCGTATACGCACTCGTCACCTCGCGTACATGACACTCACGTATCACAGAAGTATTACAACAGTATCAAATCCTAAGGGGATTTCCCCCACACAAGGTTAGGCAAGCCACTTACCCCGAACTAAGCTCAATCAATCACTAAGAATGCCCTTTCCTCGATTTTCCTAGTCCGAATGGCCAAAATCTAGCCACAAGCAATTACATACCATAAATATAACTAGAAGAAACTAATCTAATTAATGAAATCAAGACTTTAACAAGAAATTCGAAAATCGCCCCAAAAAGTTGACCCAGGCCCACGTATCGGAATCCGGTAAAAGTTACAAAATACGAATACCCAATGAACCACAAGTTCACTCGTACCAAAATTACTCAAATCCGATACCAAAATCTCAATCAAAACGCAAAAATTCGGTTGAAGAACTTTCCCACTTCCCCCCTAAAATTCTCAACCCAAAACCTTAATTAAAAGATGAAATTAATGATAGATTAGTAGGATATAACAAAAAACGAGTCAAGAATCATTACTCAATCGATGCCTCTAAAAATCCCTCAAAATCTCGCCTAAATCCGAGCTCTCTGGCTCAAGTTATGATAAAAATGACAAAACCCTCGATTTTTAAATGTTTATAGGGAAAATACATAAGATGCACCCCGAACTTGTCCTGAAAAATCAGTTTCCAACTTAACCATTACGGGCATTCTTTTTCCACCCTATACTTATCCGGACTGAATTTAATTCCTCCCTAAAAGTACATAACCAAGCTTGTGGAGGGCTGTGTGCTCCACGCTCCGCCACATGTCAATTTCTAATTTATTTTATCTTTTTCAGTTATTTTTTCATTTTTTAATTATTTTTCAATCCCGCTCCTCCCATGTCATCTTTATTTTGAAAAACATATTGGGTTTCCATGTAGTTATCACTATTACTTCTCTTTCAACCATAACCAAATCAGACCATCAATTCAGACCACCATGGTAGTTGTTGCTAGCCTAAAGGAAGAAGTTCAGGCAGAACAAAGATGGAGAAGAAAGACCCACTAAAGCTCTTTGACTGAATATTGGTCGGAAAAATTATTCGGCGAACTCACCGGCAGAGACAATAAAGACGTCTAGAAAAAAAACTCTCTAATGATAATTTTATTTGATCTTTTTGGACGAGTTAATGAAAATGAGGTTGGAAAAATATTGGAGGCATGGGTCAGGCGGGAAAGAAAATGATAGGGTAAATGAGGAGGGGAGATTAGGTGGTTTAGCAATGGTGGGGATGTAGCACGGCCCGTGTGTTTTGGGTTGGATAAGAGGAGATAGAAGAAAGGATTGAGAGAGAAAAGATTAAATAAAAAGAAAAAATAAGATAGAGAAAGAGAAAAAGAAAGTGGGACCTCACAAATAACTAAGTTAAGTTAAATGTGTAATGTCAAATTAAAATATAATATGTGTATGATTTAGTATGTAATTAATATTCTTTTCATGGTTCTACTCGAGCTTGGGAGAGTGAAACCACTATCTCTGCTATGTCATCATTCAGGGGGGGGGGGGGTTTAAATTCAGTCTGGACAAGTATAGGGTAGAAAAAGAATGCCTGTAAAGGTTGAGTTGGAAACTGATTTTTTGGGACAAGTTCGGGATGCATCTTATATATTTTCCCATGTTTATATCTGCCGAGGTAATTCCTTCTTCGCGAACGCGGAAACATCCTCGCTTCCGCGAAGCATAATAATGGCTTCAGTCTAAAAATATCCTTCGCGAACGCGATGGCCCAATTGTACACGGAAGCTGACTCTGCCTGACCCTACGCGAACGCGGGACCCTCATCGCGAATGCGTAGGCTAAATGCCTGATGACTCCACGGACTAGCTTCTCTACACGAATGCGAGGTCCCTATCGTGAACGCGTAGACCTAATACCTCAGAGCTTCGCGAACACGGGACCTACATCGCTAACATGAAGGCCAAATTCCAGTAGCACTCAAACTTTCTCTATGCGAACGCGGGAGAACCTTCGTAAACACGTAGAAGGAAACCAGACACCAACAAAATCTGAAACCTTCTAGGAATATTCAAATGCAAATCCGGGTATACACCCAAGTCTAAAATAATCATACGAAACTATTGGAATCATCAAAATACTATTCCGGAGTCGTCTAACAAAAGTCAAACTTCGGTTAACTCTCTTCACTTAATCTTCTAAAACAAGAATTGTTCTTCCAAATTGATCCCGAATCATCCGAAAACTGAACTCGACCACACACGCAAATTATAATATATAATACGAAGCTTCTCGAGGCCTTAAGACACCGAACGGAATACTCATTCTCAAAATGATTGGTCGGGTCATTACATTCTCCCTCTCTTAAATAAATGTTCATCCTCGAACGTGCCAAGTACTATTTCGAGGTCATAAATCACTGAATGTACTCACCATACACATAATCGCGGGTGATCCCTCACCCCAATGGACATAAGCTTGATAATACCGTCTCAATTGAAGATTATTTCTCCTATCCACACTGATAAACCTTAGAACCAAATATTTCACCATCCAATCATTTCGAAAAGACCCGATTCTCACATCAACACATGGTATCAGCCTCAACCAGCTGTAACAACTCATGTCTACACCACTAGGTACAACCACACGACGTAACACACTACACATATGCCTATAACAACATCTTTGATCACTACAGCTGCCCATAATAAAATACAACACCCGTAATTAACCTCATCTCAGCTAAAACCTCGTTCCAGACCTTCATAACACTAACAACGATGCAAGAAATATGAAGACCTCATAACTATTCACCTGAATCAACAAGTCACATCTAACGCCACGTGTGCACTCACCTCGTAAGCTAAAACCCAATAAGTACAGGCACAACTCTCTATCAGTACCATACTACGAATCAATTTCACAAGGGAGAATTAAAACACATGAACTAATCACCAGGATCTCATCCTGATATAACTTCTACCGTGTCACATAGCCCGGTTCAAACATATCAAACCACATGAAAATGCGAGGATCCCATCCTCAACTCTGAATCACAAGTAGCATACGCATCGTACTAACCGAAACCTTCCACTAATTCGATTCCGCAAAACAAAATCATAAATTGCAGCCAAACCTTCCCTAAATCACATCAGAACCTACCGTAATGAGTAACAGAAAGACACTTCTAGCCCCATAGCTCTCAGTAATGAACAAAACAAAATGATAGACACGGGCTACCGCCATAGAATCTCCCAACAGGGGTAAACACATAAGCAGAGCAAAAAATCACGAAGCTCACCCATATGTGAAACATGATAGGAGGACTCACCTCGATAAGCAAAACCGAATCAAAATAAGGATAGTGATCCTCTATAACAAATCGAAACCATACCTGTAACGACACCATCTGGTGTAGCGGCCTCAGCCAAACCATAGCAAATATATCAATGAGTCTACCCCTAATTGGCTGTGCAGGTGGAGTAACAAATGGAAGGGAGCCCGTGTCCTGAGTACCATGATGAAATCCACCTCTCCCGAGTCTGGCACAATCTCTCATGATATGCCTAGTATCACCACACTCATAATATCCCTTCAGCGGGCGCGACTGCTCGTACTGAGTTTGTGCCGGATAACTGGAATAACCGTCGTAGGAACCCCGTGCCGGTGGTGCACTAAAAGATGACTGC